TATTCACAGGCAACAACTGTTTGAATAATTTAAATGCTCAGATATGCAAGCATCACCCAGAAGAGTGAGAAATTTTACTTTAAAAGTGACTCAGTATTTCCAAATTAGGATGAGAGTAATAGTTTGCCTGGTTTTTATTCTCCTGTCTTCTTTTGATGTAGTTACAATGCTAACTATAATAACACTGTAACAACAGCAATAACAAGAGGAATCTAAAGTTCCAGATTCTTCCTAACCCAGGGTTGTTATTCAGGTAATTGAAACAAACAACGAGAAGTAGGATGAGAAAAGCATATAAATGTAAATATCTGTAAATTACACAAAGGAAAGTCAAACAAATATGCTGCATTCTTAACACTAGTTCCACAGAAATTGCAGCCTATCAAAACAGAAAATATAACAGGAGGAAGCATAAGTAATACAAATCATAAAATAAGAAAACAACAGAAGATAGCAATCTATAAATCATAACAATTCTCAAACTAAAAGACAAAGACAGATTATGTGAAGAAAACTTAAACTGCATGTTAATTACAAGTTACAAACGTTGATAAGATCAAAATGAAAACAAAAAGTATTAAATGATACAAAAGGGGTCATCTTATATTGAAAATGGTAATAGTCTCATCAATAAAGAATATGGAGCCCTGGACAGTGTTGCTCAGTGGTTACAGCACCAGCCCAAGCACCAAAGGGTCTTGGGTTTGATTTCTGGTCAAGGGCACCTACCTGGGTTGTAGGTTCGATCCCTGGCCCTGGCCAGGGTGCATTCAGAAGGCAACCAATCAATGTGTCTCTCTCACATCCATGTTTCTCTCTCTTTGTCCCCTTCCCCCTTTCCCTTCCACTCTCTCTAAAAATATCAATGGAAAAAATATCCTCTGATGAGAATTAACAACGAAAAAAGAATATGGAATTCATAAATACTAAAGAACAAATCACCAAAATATATAAACTAAAAACTGTGATGAATGATACAAGCACAACTATAGTAGGAGATTTTAGCATGCACTCACTATCTTTGATAAATTAAATATTTTATATTAATGCATATATGTGCATGTACTATATATATGTGTATTAAAATTAAGTTATATATACAAAGATATATGTAATATCTAGTTGTGTATATACTTTATATATCCTACCTAATAATAGACAAACATGGTAATTGACCGTACCTTTGTTACACCTCCCATCAGCTAATCAGCATGATATGCAAATCAACAGCCAACAAAAATGGCGGTTAATTTGGATACATAGGCTCCAAGTGGTGGAGAAAAGCCTGATGGCCTGGGGCCGGCGGAGCAGCGAGGCCTGACATTTCCAGGGCCATTGGATCAGCAAGGCCTCACAGCTCCAGGGCCGGCGGAGCAGCGAGGCCTGATGTTTCTGGGGCCGGTTCCGGCCAGAACTCGGCCAGAGCAAAGGCCTGGGCCCCGGTTGCTGGAGGCAAACCAGTACCAGCAGCCAGGGGAAAGGAAGGCCTATTGCATGAATCTCTTCATGCAACAGGCCTCTAATATATATATATATATATATATATATATATATATATATATATATATATATATTAGAGAGCTATCTTATTTACTATATAATTTAATAATATATATATTGTTTTCAGGTATCTATAAAAGTTTTACAAAAATGGGCACACGCAAAGCCCCCAAAAAACCCAAGTATAGTTTAGAAAGTAGAAATTACAAGAGCACAGCATGTTGATTACAAATAATAGGGATAAAATAAATTTGTTTCAAAATAAGAGATGATTATAACCAACAGTGAGAAACTGAAATAAACTGCCATAGAAAATTGAGAACAAAGATAAACAAACTGTCAATAAAAATGAAAGGGTAAGCAGTAAGAGATGGATAAAATGAATGAGTTTTAAAATAAGAGATTAAAAAATTGGACCAATGAAAAGTTTAAAAACAATAAATTAAAAAAAATAAAAGGAAAATTCAAGCATAAATGTAAGATTAAAACTTGAAAATGAAAATTAAGAAGTGAAAAGGTAAAGTAACATATTTCAAATATAATCATAAGTAGGAAAATAAAAATATTCTTAAAGGGCATGATTACAAAGAGAGAGGTTTATGACAGAGATAAATGAACAGAGAGAAAAGTCCCCCATAGTAGGGAAGGAGCGAAAGTTAATTGTGACAACCTGGAGTCTTGAAATAGAAAGAATGTGATGAAGTGCCGAGTAATGAAAAAGCAACGGAAACACAGAATCAAAGGAAATTTAAAAACCTGAGAGCAGACTTGTTTCTGGGAACTTGACAGACTGAGCTAACAAGATTCTTCTTTCAGCCATAAACAAGGAGGGATCTTGGACAAAATATGCCAACATAACTTTTCATAGCTGAACCCAAAAGACAGGAAGGGAAATCAGCAGGTGCAACAACAAAGAAGAAACTCAGCAGAGGGCTATGGAGGCTGGAGCATGGACAAGTCTGGTCTACGTCCCTGGAAGGCAGAGACTATGTTGGAGATGGGAGTGAGGAAAGCTGATTGGGAACAACCCGTGGGGGAGTGAGGGCCACAAGAGGGGGCAGAGGTGGAAAGTGAACTGGGGTGCTTTGCAATGAAGTCCTCAGCTGACCCTACAGGGCACTTTGGAGGTGAGATATCTCTAGTCAAAAGGCCAGACCTTTACCTCCATAGCAGATACCTTCATATTGGCCCCAAAATGTGGTGTGACCTTGAGGGGAGGGCAAGTCCTTGAGAGAGACTGCTGAGAGCAGGTAGCCAGCAGCCAAAGCTCCCAGCATGCTGGGGGAATGAGACCTTCAGCTCAGGGCTCTGAGGTGGTTCTGGAGAGGTCCATACAATTTTCTTTGATGAGATGGGTAACTTTCATTTCAACTTTTTCCCTCCCACAATTCATTTAGCTCTGTCTCTGTAATGTTGACATTTTGGAATATTTGTTCTTTTGGGGTTGTTAGGAAGGTACAAATAAGTGGTCCCCTGCCCCGTCTCCCACAGGTATACAAAGACACTTACATAGAAGCTACTTATGTACAAATATATTAATCTTAGTGGTATTTATATTACCAGGAGAATAATTGACAATGACCAAAATACCCCAAAATATAAGAATGATAAAATTATGTACAGCTATTAAAATGATGTTTTCAAAGAATGGGCATTAAGATATTAATATCTGCATTTACACTGCATAGATTTATTATTCTATTATTAAACATTTGTTATTTAAAATTTTATTCTAATTGCTATTGCATAAAAAAATATGAAGGCAAATAGATCAAAATCATGTCAGGATTTGGCTCTAAAATGTACAGATTTTTCAGTACTTTTTATTTTCCACATGATCTAAGATTATGTATTATTTACAATTATAAAAAAATCAACGTTGTTTATAAAATAAAAACATAATTATGCTGAATTAGACTTAATTTTCAAATTTATATTTGATGTGAAAAAATATAGTGATAATGAAACATTACTATATTGAGAGCAGATTTTCAATATTTTTCACATTTTTAAAATCTTATTTTTAACACTATTTTCAAGGTGAATGGAGTGGAAAAAGTAAATCTTGAGTGTTTCTTAGTTCTTTTCTTAACTTATCTAAAGTTTTTCTTGGGAGATAAGAGCTCCCAAAATATGTGTTTCCGTGTGTGTATGTGTGAGTGTGTGTGTGTGTGCACATGTGCACATGCCTACACACATTTGACTTCTATTGTCTTTTGGAGCTTTTCCTATGCCTATTTCAATTGTTCTAAAGTTCCCATTGCATATGGTTCCCACTAGTTATTGGGACATGGTCAAATGACATTCTCCTAAGGCTCCAAATCTCACTAGTGGCTAGCCCATAAGCAAGGAAGAAATCCAAAAATCTACAGAAAAAAAAGAAAACAATAAATTGCATCATTCAAGGGATTTTTAAATGAAGAAACTATTCGGTACTAGACATTTCAGTTTGACAAAGCTGATCCTGCGGATTCAATTTCCATAAATCCTTTCAAGTGTTTAACCAACTTTTCTCATTTTGCAAAAATATCTAACAAAATCACAGGCAGAACAATTGTTCTTGACATCATAAAAGTTTAATATCTTATTTATCAATTTTTGCTTGCTTTGCTTATGATATAGGAACTGGTCAGATATTTTTAAGAATCTGACAAACCATACACTTGGAAATTGTGAACAGACCCATATTAGTTTTCATTATTGTTATGGCTTTCTTTTTTTTTGTTTTTTGTTAATCTTCACCTGAGGATATTCTTCCACTGATTTTTAAAGGGAGTAGGAGGGGGAGGAAGGCAGAGAGAGAGAGAGAGAGAGAGAGAGAGAGAGAGAGAGAGAGAGAGAGAAACTTAGATTGATTGCCTCCTGCATGTGCCCCAACCAGAAACCAGAGCCAGGGATCAAACCTGCAAACCCAAGTAGGTGCCCTTGACTGAGAAATGAACCCTGAACCCTTCTGGGCATGGGCAAATGCTCTAACCACTGTGCACATTGGCCAGGGCAGTTGTTGTGGTTTTCTTCTCCCGTTTCCTCTCTCTCCCTCTTTTTTTCCCCTCTCTCTTTTCCTTCCTTTTAGACAGAGTTCCTAATTCCTTAGCTCCAATTCATGTTGTACTCTCTCACCATTCTTTCTCGCATCGTTTCCTTCTCCCTCCATGTCTGCATTGCTTTTCCACATTTCACAGTGAATGTCAATGTGCTGGAGTGTGCACGGAATGGGGAGGGTTACTGAGAACCATGATTTTAGAAGCTTATGTGTTTGAGAGCCTGTGAAATCCTCCCTGGCCTCAGAGATTTTAAATTGTTTCAATCTATATTTTCTTTGACTTTTATGCTTTTAAAGTTTCACATCCAATAACCACATTAGTATCCAGAGCATGGATTTTTTTGCGTTTGACAAAGCTGATCCTGTGGATTCAGTTTCCATAAATCCCTTAAAGTGTTTAACCAACTTTTCTCATTTTGCAAAAATGTCTAACAAAATCACAGGGGAAAACAATTGTTCTTGACATCACAACAGTTTAATATGCTAACTTATTCATTAAATTGTGCTTCACATCAATGGAAATCCTCAGTTCTACAAACTATCATTTTTTAAATAGCAATAAGGGTTGATAATGTCACAATACAATCTCCTAGTACCCGAGTTCATACATATTGTTGCACAGAAACCAAAGGAAATATCTCTTAGGAGAAATAATTTACTATCTATTGAGTAACTATCTTTACATCTAAAATGGGGCACCAGCTATAAGTCCAGATTTTTCTTTCCAACTTTTTTTTTTAAATCTTTGAAACACTAAATGAAAAATAATGCAAGCAAAACCCAGAATGTACTTCTGGGAGGAATAAAAAACACGGGCAGAAGAGAAAAGTGGATCACGTGATTTGAAAAAAAATAACGACAAGCTGGTGGGAGACAAATGTGACAATGACTAAATCACACAAACTCTGCTTCCTCAGATCATGGTTTTCCCTGGCAAGAGCTGAGGTTTTCCAGCACTGACATCTGGCCCTTTGATGAGATACCACAGTGCAGCAGAACATGGAACTCACAGAGATTCCACTTCGTGTGTCAAAGGATGACACATTAGTTCCATAGACAACTTAGAACACAAGTTCAAGAAACATCTGTGCTTTCGCGTTCTCAGATCCAGAGCTCCGTGAGGTTACCTCGAGTCCTCGCCTGGAAGTCCAGGGGGTGTTTGTCTTGCAGATGTTGCTGGTGTTTATAGCGAGGCCAGTCCTCTGGAATCTCAGCACCTCTGCAAGATCAGTTGGTTCTGTGTGTCACGAAGCTTACATCCATGTGCATTCCATCCATTAGGTTACAAAACACACAGGTTTTCAACCAACCCACTTGCCCAAAAGGGCTGATTCAAAGTTTTAGGGAATCAGTTCACATATGTCCAGGTGAATATGGTGAGAGAATAACAGGCTTATATGTCCACTAGAGATGGAAGAAGGGAACAGAAGAAAAGCTAAAAGTGTCTTGGAGAAAGAACCTTGGCATGCTTCCCAGAGATGACACAACTGAGTAGATCATCAGACTCAGCCAGCCCTGACACCAGCCTGGAGACATCCAGTCAGAGTTCTGGACACCAGCAGAGGTACAATAACAATGGGAAAGGAGAAATCTTGGCGACACAGCTGTGATCAGATCAGGGTATTCTTCACTTAAGTCCCACCCAGCTTTCTCTTTGAGCCAACTCATTCAGTCTTTGTTTCAGCCCCTAAAACTATCCCCATGCTCTTGTCCTGTCTCATGAGCCTCATGTCCTTTGCTGCCCTTTTAAATGGCCAAAAGAATTACAGTCCCCAGACTGCTCTTGTTCTTGAGGACAGAAGCTGCATATTAGTTATTTTCTATTTTTCAATATTTTCTGGCACATATTTAATTCCTCATCTTTCCACCTTTACAAGGTCTGCTTCCTTTTTAGGAGCTCTACTTTGTTTTCTATGCTTATTCCCAGCCTCCCTAAGCCCCCACTCTCCCCACCCCACATGATCCTATTACATAGGACCTTCTTCTGAGCTAGAGGCCAAATAAACATTCTGTGTGAAGGTGTTAGCTTATGACAGCTTAAAGCATTTCCTCTCTTTAGCAAATGTGCAAAGGGAATCACTGAAAAAAAAATTTAAAAACCTTTAGGAACCAAAAAAAAAATAAGTTGCTGATAAAATTCTAGGGACCTGGGGAAGAGGTAGAGACAAAAGTAAATTTTTAGAGCAGGGGTTCTATTGATCACCCCTTAAGCTTCAGCACTGAGGCTGCTACTGATTTTAAGTATTTCTAACACTGAGCTTCCCTAAGGAGGTGTAAGCACATCCCCTCAGCCTTGTCCTTGAGTAGTTTTGGGATTGGATGGGGTGAACATGAGCAAGAAGTGTTTGAGTGCCTGTGCTTTTCAGTTGCCCCTGCAGCACTGACAGTTTTTTGGCCATTTCACTCCTATTAACAGGCTTCCTCACTAGACACAGGGGCTTACGGGCCAACTCTGCCAGTCTCCTTGGCATTATCTAAGTCACTGCAGTTCCATGAAAAGGTAAGGGAAGATATAAATCAATAAAGGTTTAGAATCATATTTTTTTTTCAATTCCCAACCCCAAATCTGATGCTAAGCAGCACAAAATAGTAGGAAAGACTTGAAGTCAAAAGTCTGGGGCTCCGAGCAACTTCCTTGTTAGTAAACTGTAATCTTTGGGAAATCTCTCGACATGTCTGAATTTCCATGTCAAACTATCTAATGGGTAATGTGTAGAGGTCCTATTTAACATATAAGAATGTAGTGAAGATCAATGAGATACTAAAGGTAAAAATGTTTTTAAAAACATTAAGTGCTATATAAAGTTATGAATTTTAATCTTATCTATTGTAAAACATATGACTATATAGATGACATCAAAAAGCACTGGATGTATTTTTTAATTCCCCTTTGTGCAGAGACAAGTAGTTTCATCAGCATTAATTTTTACATTATTTCATTAAATAATAGGACCTTC